GGCCGGATGGAGACGTTCCCTTCGATTGGTCATACCACCTGAGGGGCGGCGAAAAAGGGGCGAAAAAGTCTTTTTTGCGGTTGTGAGTGTACTGGCGACAACGAGGGGGTCTCTGCAGCAGAAATAGAAACTGTTTCCGAAGTGGGATGAGGACAGGGGGGGGGGGACTAGTCTCACTGCGGAATGCGGGGTGAGGGAGGGGGGGGAGGATTTGGGCTTTAACGCGCGGGTGGGGCGGCACAGTGTGCCAGAGGACCGGTGGCGGTGGTCAAAATCCCAGACGTGTTTTGAGCTCCAGAGTCGCTTAACAGGGCTTGAACCGAACGTGTGACCCTACCAATGGATTCCTCGTTCGGAGAGAAATCCCTTGGTGGGATCTCACGTTCGGTTCGAGTCCCATTTGGCGACTCTGAAGCTCAAAACGCGTCTGGGTTTTTGGCCGCCTCCACCGGTCTTCTGGCCCACTGTGGGCGGCCAGCCGGTGCTCACGGACGGGGAGGAGGAAGCACTTTGTTCAAAGCGGGGGTGCAGGCAGGTACGCCGCCGCGGCGAGGAGGATGGAATGCCCCGGATGCAAAAAGCGAAAAAGCAGCCAGGGGAAGGAGAAAGGGGCGAGGGGAGGGGAAGGGGAAGCGGAGGGGAAGCGGAGGGGAAGCCAAAGCAAGCCGCTACCTCCCCGGGACACCCTGCGCAGTCCTGCGCGGCCCTGCGACGCCCCGCGAACGCTTCGCCAGTCGCCAAAGGACCCAGCCACGCTGTGCGGCACGGACTGGGTCCGTGTGTGTGTGCGCGCGTGTGATGACTGTTTTCTCGGACAAAATTTTTGTCGTCTCATTTTGAGCACGTCCGAGAGAGGCAAAGAAGTATAGAGAAAGTCAAAATCACTTTTTTTCCGTCTGCAAAAATTCCAGTGAAGTTTCAGGGTCGGAAGCGGACGACTCTCGCCCTCCATGTTCCATGTTCGAACGTGGGATAACTCACGGACACACACACACACACACACACACGCACACACACACAGACGCAAGGAAAACAAGAAGGTGGAACACATTAACGCGGCTGCACGGAGTCCCGTTGTTACGACCCGACTGTAAAGATAAAACCCGCAGCGTGTGACATTACGTCCGCCGAATGCCGCCCCGCCCCGCCCCGCCCGGCCCGGCCCCGCCCCGCCCCGCCCCGCCCCACGAGGCGCTCCGTGCCGCGGCCCCGGCGCGCCGCAACAAGACGTGCCGTAAAAATTATTTTCTGATTGCCGTTTGAACGTCGCCGCGGGGGATCGCGTCGCTCGCCGTAAAAGGGGCGGCCAAGGGTCGGGAAGGGGTTGGAAAAGGCGGGAAAGGGTCGGGAAGGGGTCGGGAAGGGGTCGCGCGGACGGCGCGGTGGCGCCAGACGGCACGACACACGTAGTTATGCGCTCGAAAACGCAATAAAAGGCACACTGCCATGTTTTCTGCCCTTACTGTTATGCGGCCATTTCGCGCTTTTAGCGCTGTACCTTTTGTTATTCTTCATTCCATTTTTTTTAAAACAGTTTCTGTTTTTCTGCCTTGCTACCCAAAAATTTCGATACAAAAGAGACTTTTTGTTTTTGGCTGGGCGTCAGAGTCAGCAATGCTCGAAATAGCAAACTGCCTGCGGTGGGACGAGAATGGCCCCGCCCCCGCGATACAGTGTACACGTCCTGGCGGCCCCGCCATCGACATATCACGCACACATTCTGTCGGGCGACGGCGAGGTTTCAGTCAGGGCGGGACGGGACGGGACGGGACACGTTGGCGGCGGCAAGGAGGCGCGGGCGTGGCGGCGCGGCGGGCCGGCCTGTCTCTGTCTCTCTCGCACTCACGGGGCATCCCATGTGGGTGCGAGGGAGACAGAGCGACGAAAGTGACTCTCGGAATCAGTCGGCTGCCGCGCGCCAGATTTGTGTGTCGCGGAAGGGGGGGCGGGAAAGGGGTGGCTTGGTGGAGCACTGGGGCATCGCGGGGCCACCCATAAATCAAGGGAGCTCTGGGGATGGCCCTGCCCCGCCGCCTCGCTCGCCGCCCGGGCCGCCGCCGCCGCCTTGTTGTGGCTCCAGACAGGGCCTTCTTCGATACCAGCGCGCCGATGCCCGTCCCCGCGTCCCCGCCCCCCGCCTCGGCCCCCACCGCCACCGAGGCCCACAAAAATGGATGCAAATCCTGGAGCAGGCCGAGCAGGCCGAGCCGTGCGTCGCGATGCCCACGCCGCGTAAACTCGGCTTTGCATCGCAAATTATTTCCCGGACACTTGTTTTTTTCGGTTTTTTCTTTCCTTGCTCTGGAGGGCCGGAGGAGGACAGTGTACCGCTTGGAGCTAAGTCGGGATCATGGCGGCGCGGCGCACGCACACACCGACACGGACGCACACAGACGCACACAGACGCGCGCTCTGGCTGGGGCCGCAAAGTGGGCGCGTCGTTAAGAGTGTGGGAATCAGAAGCAGGCCGCCACTGCCACCGCCACTGCCACCGCCACAGTGTGGTGGCGTCGCTCCGCCTCCGTCGCACTCACGGGGCGTCCCGACGGATACCGCAGGGGTGCGAGAGAGACAGCCGAAGCAGCCCGCCGCGCCGCCGCCGTCTCTTCGTCCCGTCGGCCGGGGCATTCATTCTGTACTTGTAAGTTTCGCTCGCAAAGTTGCGCCTCGTTGCCGGAGTGCTTCCCCCCCCCCCTCCTTCTCGCTGCGAAGGAAAGGCGGTCCGAACACAAAACGCCCGCGGGACCGCCCGCCCGCCCGCGCCCGAGACGACACACGCCGACAAGGCCGTGCGCGTGCACGAACGCGCGCAAAAAAAACAACAACAAAGAAGGAGGAATTTCGGCAAATTGTTGCATTTTTGGCATGCGCCGCGAACGCGGGAGCGGCGCTCGCGCGCGCGTGTGCTCGGGGCGGGGGCGAAAATCAGGTCCATTTAACTTTTTTAACACATTCACGACCGTCCGGGAACACGCGTTCCCGTACGGGAAAAAGTCCAGACGACCATCCGGGAACACCGTTCCCGGACAAATCCGATTTTCCGATTTCGCCTCACAGAATTGTCACGATCATGAGACATATTTTTTTGGAACCGCCTCAACGAAAGACGCAAGTCACTTTTTGAACGGACCTCGTACGATGAATTTGGTACGGGTACATGATTCCCGGACGGTCGTCAGAGACATGTCCAGTCCGGGAACACCGTTCCCGTACGTAAAAGCGGCCCAGCAAGCTAAATGAGGGTATTTTCGGAATCAGCGGATCGAGCCCAGGCCATTCGCACACTTTTCGACTTGGTTTGAGCTGTTACAACCAACTCGATTTTGACACGGCCCGATTCTGCTGCATGTCAAGAAGGCCGCGTGGAAATCGGGTTGATTGTAACATCTCAAAACAGGTCGAAAAGTGTGCGAATGACCTGGGCGCTCCGCTGATTCCAAAATACCCTCATTTAGTTTGCTGGGCCGCTTTTACGTACGGGAACGGTGTTCCCGGATGGACTGTCTCTGACGACCGTCGGTACACGGTTCCCGACTCAAAAACGGCCATACAAGCTTCAACTGGGACTTCTTGCGTTTCTTCCTTTTTTTGAAAAATAAATGATTTTGGTACTCATTTGATCGGGAACCGTGTTTCCGTACTGCGTTCCCGCACTTGGTGGGGCGTCCGTCCGTCCACCCCGGGGAACCCGGTACCCGGGGGCAAAAGGCCAAGGCCCGCGCCCCGCCGTCCGGTCGGCGGGGTTCTCTGTACTTTTTTTTTCGCCTGTTGGGGGGTTTTCCTTATTGCAAAGGAAAAGCGGGGCTTATACAAAGCCCGCGGGGGGCCCGCGGGAGAAACCGCAAAGGGTTGGTCAAAGGGGAAAAAACAACCGGGAGGCGGAAGGTTTGGGCCCAACCCGCGGGGTCCGGGTCCGTGAAAAAAGGTGTTAATGAAATAGGAACCACCCCATCCCGTGTCTGGCCGGGGTGCTTCCTCCCGCCTGCTCCACGCTGCTCCGCCTGCCGAGCGATGCCAGCACTGCGATGAATAAAAGTTGCGGTCCTCGTTAGAGGCTGACCCCCCCCCCCCCCTTCCCGCGGCGCTTTCATTGCCCATCCCCCTCTACTAACTCCCCCTCAAGCCGGCGAATAGTGTGCGTGGAGGGAACAGGGGCTGGTATGCGCGTCGCTGACTTGGGAGGGGGGGGGGACAGTTTGTTGATGTTTCCACTCATGTATCCCAAGTTGGGCCACCGCCGCCTCACCCCTCCCCCTCCTCGGTCCGGGCGAGCGGAGCGCGCAGCGAGCCTTGGCCGAGTTGAGGGAAGTGTCATGAGACAGGACCGGGTCAGCCAGGACACTAAGGACACGCCGGCGGGACGGCCCGCGAGACACAGGGCCGCTGCAAACAGGAAAGTCGCCGGGGACACAGTGGGCCAGAAGACCGGTGGAGGTGGTCAAAATCCCGGACGCGTTTTGACGTTTTGACCTCCAGAGCCGCTTAACAGGACTCGAGCCGAACGTATGACCCCACCAATGGATTGCTCTCCGAACGAGGAATCCATTGGTGGGGTCACACGGTCAGTTTGAGTGCCATTCAGCGACTCCAGAGCCCAAAACGCGTCTGGAGTTTTGCCCTCTGGCCCAGAAAAACATGGTCAAGTTGTGGCGGCAGATCGCACGCGGCACGCTGTTGGCACGCTGTCGGCGCCCAGAGGGCCAATCACGACTCGCAGTGGAGGTCCTCGCGGAAAACGCGCCGAAACAATATCGGAAACAGCGTAACGGAAAAGAAACAAATAAGCAGAGAGGCGCGCACCGGAGGGAGGAGCCACTAATTAAAAAATTCCGCGCCGCCCTCCGCCATTTTTCTTCCGCGCTGCATGATTCAGGCGGCGAGCCGCGGCCCGCGCGGGGAGTGACACTCACGTAGCCGAGCCCCCCGACGTGGACCCGCAGGGAAAGGAAAAAAAAACTCGTTTTTTCTTCCCGTGTTAAATTTCTGATGGCGGTACTCACGATGCCCGAGACGGTGATCTCCCCCGAGGTGGACAGGGGCAGCAGGTCGGTGAGGATGCAGCCCTCCAGGGCGGCGCTGATGTCCTCCTGGCTGCAGTCCAGTTTGTCGTCCGGCTCCGTCCACCAGTGCTCCGTGTACGTCCCCATGATGAGCCATTGGAACTTGCGGCCCACCATGCCGACCCTAGAACACAATCAGCAACATCAGTTTTTCTTTCAGTGTGGCCGCAATAGACGTCGCTGGATGGAGGTGTCCCAGCGCTGCAGCCGAAGCGAACCGAAGCCCGGACAGTTAAACGGGCTCTTTCAGCATAATTAAAGGGAATTGAGAGCCACCCCAGATGTGGCAAAGTGCCCGGCGGCCCTCCGCGCTGCCAGACGCACCCACGTGGCGGGGCGGGCCGGGGCGGCGAACACGCTAGACACGGCGGCTTGATATTGTACTTCTTCGCGTCCAATTTAGTCCCTCGCTTTCTTGCGACTGGGAATGCCGACGAGATAGGCCGGCTGGGCGAGTAAGAGAGAAAAAAAAGAAAAAAGGCCCGTGTTTGGTTAGAATTGAACCTTGGATACGAAAGACTGCACGGAATATAAGACGGCCTCAGTGGGCAAAGCCTCGCCTAAATTAACCAATTAACAACGAATAAGGTTCAGCTGGCAGCAATATAAGCGGTTCGCGGAAGCATCGGACTTACTTGTGTGCTTGGCAGAATATCCTCCGGGCCCACGTCTCGTTGAAGTTCCCCAGCACGATGCGGATGTCCTTCGCCTTGAGCTTCTCGATGGCGTCCGACACGTCGGTGGCGAAGCTCTGTGCCTCAGCCACTTGGAAGCCCAGGGTGTCCAGGTCCGCCACCAGCCGGTTGTGAGCCTGCGCAGAGGAACAGACACAGTCAGCCACCCGTCCCCAACACGCTTCTTAAAAAAAAGAAGAATTAAGAATAAAGGGAGACTTTGTTATTGCGGCCTGGACTGGAACTTGGTGTGACCCCACCAATGGAATGCTCTTCGAACGATTAGGAATCCATTGGTGGGTTCACACGTTCGGTCCCTCCTGTTAGCGACTCTGGAGCTCAAAATACGTCTCGAGTTTTGGCCGCCTGCGCCGGTCTTCTGGCCCACCGTGCGCTCTACGTCGGATACTCCTGGCCCGGCGCCTCTCTGGAGAGACCCCCACCCCCTCAGCCGTGAACCCAGAACCCAGCAAAACATCCAAATGACTCAAGGAGAGGGCCGCCGCTTTCACTGGGCCCTGCACAGATTGCCACGTCCGCCTCTGTCACCGTAATTGTTTTTGCATGTGACTCTCTCTCTCTCTCTCTGGCTCTCTCTCTCTCTCTCTCTCTCTCTCTGCTTCTCTCTCTCTTCTCCTTCCTCTCTCTCTCTCTCTCTCTTTTGGCAGTGTCGCGCCGTTAATTTGCAGGAGGCGCGGATTGATTTGGCGTCTCGTTTTCGCGACGGGCTGGGCGTTAATCCAAGTGCGAGGGAGAAAGAGGGCCGCTGGCCGCAAGCCCAACGGCCCCCACGCGGCCCCCGCCGCCCCCTCCAGGCCCTCCCAGCACGCCGAACAGAGCTTTCGTCGCTCTGTCTCGCTCGCACTCGGGGCGTGGGATGGAGAGGGAGGGAGAGAGAGACAGAGCGACGGCGCCCCGTTCGGCACCAGCCTCCCGGTTGGTCCCGCCCCCCGGGGCACACCCCTTCCTCATCTGCATAGCCCTCCAATTAAGCGCAACAGTGCAAAGGAATACAGATGCAGATCCAGATTCGGATTCAGGCCGCGTGTGGCGGCGTGGCGGTGCGTGGCGGCGCGGCGACCTGGCAGCGCCGCAAACTAGTGCAGCCTCCGTCATATGCGGATATTACACTGCCGAAATTAGGCGTGCCACTTGATATGGCAATGTCGAGGCTGATATTATTCCTTACAAGAATGCCATCAAACCAACTGACGATGTTGTTATTGTCACACCGAGTTTAGGAGCTTCGATGATGTCAGCAATCTTGCGATAACAATGCCATCATTTTGAAGCGATGAAAATGTCATCGCAAATGACAGCGGCCTCAAAGAAATGGTAGATCGGCAATCAGGGCCTGGAGGGCCTGTCGAGGGCCTGCCTTGGCCCAGGGCCTTGGCCCAGGGCCGTGGGCCTGCCCAGGCCGCTGCTTCTGCCCGGAGGCAGCGGCGGCCAAACACACAACCCTGCCTTCAATCTCAAAAGCCCGGCTTCCAGTTTGCCGCAAGGTCACGGTGCCTTCAAAGCAGCAGCAGCCCCCACCCCCTTCCCCCGCCGTTTTTCACGGCGCGTGACCCCGCCCCCACCCCTCCCCTGGATTCGGCGAGCCAGGAGGAAACTCGGTCGTCGTCCAGCCACGCCACCTGCAGGCTCGCTCCGACAACGCGTTGCGCTCCGTCTCTCTCGCACCCCGACGGGCCGCCCGATGAGTGCGAGAGAGAGAGAGAGAGAGCCTTTCGGGCCCAACCACCTCCACGAGGCTGCATGGCGACTGGACGCCTTTCCGGACCGTTCAAGAAGGAATGTTATGGCCTCGGTGGCGCGGCGCGGCGCGGCACGGTGGGGGGATGGCCCACCACTCACGCCTTTTTAAGCCCCCTCCCCAACGAACTGGAGGGACTTGGCGGTGCCGGGATAAAAGTGTGTCCCCTTCGCAGTGTATTAGGAGCAATGTCACGGGCACCGGGGGCACCGCGGCCGCGATGGGGTGGACTCCGGGGAGGGAGGGGGCGGCTCTGCTTTAAGGGCCTTTGCGCGTGCGCTCCTTCATCGAGTCGTGTTTGGGTAGAAAGGACGACTCAATGAGGAAAATTGAATGTTGTGGCTTTAATCGGGAGAGAAAAGACGTTGGCGCGGGGGGGGGGCGTGTATAATCCCCCGACAACCGTGGAACGGCGCGCCAGGCGAGTCAAGTCGACCTGAAGGAGGAGAGATTTGAAAAGACGCGCCACTGGCTCTTAACGGAAGGAGGAGGGGAAGGGGGAGAGGGCTCTTACACGAATCCCCGCGGGGATGAACGGGATTACAGCTGCGCTGACTTTATTCTCGCCGGTAGATCTGAAAGGCGCGCTTATTGGCCCCGCCGCCCCGCCGGAGGAGCTTTGATTAGAATTTGCGGGGCGGTGGGGGGGGGAGTATTGTTGATAACAGCGTAGCGACACCGGGGTGCCGCCACCGCGCGAGTCGTCCTCGCGGTGTACTCACTGACTGCTCTCGCTCACATAGGACGGTCCCTACTCGCAAACGGGTGCGAGAGAGACAGGGGACCGGCCGCTCCATTTCCGCGGGGACACACGCGCGGACTGGCGGGCCGTGGCAGCCAGGGCCATGCCGGCCATGGCCTTCCAGCGGGTCGCTCAACATAAAATACTGTCTCCGCCCAATCTCCCGTACACGACTAAGTGCCGCTCGCTCGGCCAGGATCAAGCGCGTGTGTGTGTGTGTGAGAGAGAGAGAGAGAGAGAGAGGAGAGAGAGAGAGAGAGAGAGAGAGAGAGAGAGAGAGAGAGAGAGGATGTTTAGTGATAAGCCGCCTGGCGGATTTTAGGTCCTTCCGGAGGAACAGGCGCTAAACAACGCCAGGTGTGAACACGGTTAGACTTGGTCCTGAAAGATTCAGGACCGTAACGCGTCCCTGAGGTAGCCGGACACCCGTTTCCAGGACGGGAGTGGCGAAATTCAACCAGTTTGCCGTTTGGTCCTGGAAACGGGTGTCATTGGCGACGTTTGTCACCCGTTTCCAGGACGGTTCGGAATGTTTGGGGCTCTCGGTCCTGGAAACGAGTCTCGGCGGGCCCAAGACGCCGAAGTAAGACCAGTTCGCACCTGGTAGCTTGCACACTGAACTACATTGTACCGCTGGACAATGATGCGCCATTCCCGCAGTGCGTTTCATGGAAAAAATCGGCAGCAAAAAGTGGCAATACGAAAGTCTCAAGGAGACCCGCCGATCAGCTTCGGTGTTCTTATGGGAACCGGGCCTTCATCCGACGCATCCCTGCCGCGCAATTCGACAGATTAGTGGAGTTCGTATTGGGCTGGCCCACCCGAAGTGCGCGCGGTTTCTGTGGTACAGTGAGAGTCCAGATTCAGAGGCCTTACCTCAGAGGGGTCACATTGGGTATTTGAACCCGCGACCCCGAGTGCCGAGTCTAGTCAACTCCTCTACCCTGACCGCTCAGCCACCGAACCAGCTTGTCGGTGGCGATGTCGCAACTCCTCTTGAGCTGCCGTTCGAGAAATCTGGTCCCGAAAAAAGGGTACCTAGAGCGGTCTCGAACCCGGGACCTGCCGCTTCCCACATCATGCTCTTAACCACTGAGCCACCGGGACGCCATGGCACCCGCCGTGCCTGCGCAGGTACCCAATCTTCTGTGGATATACCTCCCCAAGCAATTGGTCGCCGAAAAAATTGTGTATACTATCGGTCCCGAACCCGGGACCTCCCGCTTCCCGCGACATGCTCTTAACCACTGAGCCACCGGGACGCCATGGCACCCGCCCTGCCTGCGCAGGTACCCAATCTTCTCTGGATATACCCCCCCAAGCAATTGGTCGCCGAAAAAATTGTGTATACTACCGGTCCCGAACCCGGGACCTGCCGCTTCCCACATCATGCTCTTTACCACTGAGCTACCGGAGGACCATGGTGCTCGCTCTGCCAGCGCTGGTACTCAATCCTCTCCGGATAGACCTCCTCAAGAAGTTTGTTGCCGTTGCCGAAAAATTTGATCATGGCACTAGTCTTGAACCCGAGACCTGCCAGTCAGGAACGGATCACTCTAACCACTGCGCCACCTGTTTGCTATGAGCGCCGCTCTCCTAGCGCCGAACTTATAATTTGTCCAGCATCAAGCAAGATGGGTGGCTATTCAAGTTTGGCGCGAGGTGGGTGGCGTGCATAGCAACCTGATGGCGCAGTGGTTAGAGTGCTCCGTTCCTGACTGGCAGGTCTCGGGTTCAAGACTAGTGCCATGATCAAATTTTTCGGCAACGGCAACAAACTTCTTGAGGAGGTCTATCCGGAGAGGATTGAGTACCAGCGCTGGCAGAGCGAGCACCATGGTCCTCCGGTAGCTCAGTGGTAAAGAGCATGATGTGGGAAGCGGCAGGTCCCGGGTTCGGGACCGGTAGTATACACAATTTTTTCGGCGACCAATTGCTTGGGGGGGTATATCCAGAGAAGATTGGGTACCTGCGCAGGCAGGGCGAGTGCCATGGCGTCCCGGTGGCTCAGTGGTTAAGAGCATGTCGCGGGAAGCGGGAGGTCCCGGGTTCGGGACCGATAGTGTACACAATTTTTTCGGCGACCAATTGCTTGGGGAGGTATATCCACAGAAGATTGGGTACCTGCGCAGGCACGGCGGGTGCCATGGCGTCCCGGTGGCTCAGTGGTTAAGAGCATGATGTGGGAAGCGGCAGGTCCCGGGTTCGAGACCGCTCTAGGTACCCTTTTTTCGGGACCAGATTTCTCGAACGGCAGCTCAAGAGGAGTTGCGACATCGCCACCGACAAGCTGGTTCGGTGGCTGAGCGGTCAGGGTAGAGGAGTTGACTAGACTCGGCACTCGGGGTCGCGGGTTCAAATACCCAATGTGACCCCTCTGAGGTAAGGCCTCTGAATCTGGACTCTCACTGTACCACAGAAACCGCGCGCACTTCGGGTGGGCCAGCCCAATACGAACTCCACTAATCTGTCGAATTGCGCGGCAGGGATGCGTCGGATGAAGGCCCGGTTCCCATAAGAACACCGAAGCTGATCGGCGGGTCTCCTTGAGACTTTCGTATTGCCACTTTTTGCTGCCGATTTTTTCCATGAAACGCACTGCGGGAATGGCGCATCATTGTCCAGCGGTACAATGT